AAACAATGTTAAGAAAAATCAACTTAAAAATCACTGATGTACCGTAATACTTAAAAAAGCTGCTATTTAATTATTATGTTTTTTCTCGACACTGGTGCATCTGGCATTTCTCTTTTCTTCTCGATTTTTAGCTCTTCATGTTCGCAAATCCTTATGTAGGCTTTCTTATGCATCCTTAAACTTCAGCAACAGATTTTAACCAATTGTTTCTTTGCAATGACAACCTTGTATTTTAAGGTTCGAGCGAGTGTCGGCAACACCAAGTGAATTTGTTGCAGTACACTTATATGTGCCAACATCCGCCTCACCAAAATCGTTTATGCGTACGCGGCATGCTCCATCCGGTGTGTTACGGATTTCAATCCGATCCGATTCTTCCAAAACAACACCATCCTGAAAATTACATGAACAACTGGAAAACATCAAAAAAAAATTTTCTTTTTCAGACACTGAAATCTATAATTTTTAGAAACTTTTGGGTAAATCATATTTTTAATTTCAAGAAGTTCAGAAATTTAACAAAAAAAAAATTAGCTTTTTAATTGCATCCCACTGTGCTTCTATTCTCATTAATTATTCTATCACACTTTTAACAAAATTAAAATTTAGATTTCTACTAAAATTTCGATACTGGTAAATTCAAATTGCACCATGTTTTCGTACCTTCATCCAGACGATTTCGGCAGTTGGTTTTGCATCAACATGGCATTCGATTGCCATCACTTGTCCCGGTGGTATACGCCGATCCCACAGTGGTACATTGAATTTCGGCGGATAACCTTCTTCCGTTTTCGGTTTTCCGGGTCGTGCTTCAGTAAGGATTATCTGTGATTCACATTCTGCTTTTCCGTGCTCATTGGCAGCAATGCATTTCACGCGGCCGATAAGCTGCTCGTCCACCTGTTCGATGACCATCGTCCAGTTCCCCTCACCCATGTCTTTAATTTTGATTTCACTTGCTGTGGTTACATCAGTACCGGCAATGTACCTGGAATAATAATCATCAGTATTTAAATAGCGCTCCCAGACTGCAGAATAAAAAAACTGAACACGACCTGGAAAGGGTAATGCTTCGTGACGAGTTAGTGATGCTCAACACATACCGCTTAATCTCCGTATGGGTTAAGCATTGTCAAAGTGCTCCTACCTGGGAAATCACTGAGCTGGTAATCATTTTAGGAGACGAAAGGAACTTCAGGACTTCAGGACTGATCAGTAGTTGATGAAGCATTGATCAAAATGCCCTTGCCGTGAAATGAAGAAAGAAAATGGCATGATGGTTGGTTACGCCGCTGGAAAGCGTTCCGAATACTAGTAGAAATAGTAGCTATGGTAAGCTCAATGTTAAAGCGGCCAGTTGATACAGTTAATAAAGAAATACTCATAGAAAATAAGCGCTTTCTGCACTTTACATAAAAAGCAACAAACCTATTATGTACGTATGAATTATGTTAAATTACATCCCTGCTCAAGTCCATCTAGTGGTGAAATGAGTTTTACTCTTTTTAAGTTATTTTCTGCAGTTATCATTTCGCGAGCTTCAAAATTCAACCAAAATCATCTATTGTTTCTTATTAAAAGAAATGGTAAGACCGGGATTCTGGACCAAGGTACCGCATGTTACAATGAAAAGAGATCATAATGCAGCCTGTATTTCATCCCTTAGTTGTAAACAAAGAAAGAGGTGCACTTAGGAACTGAGGTATTTTCTCCTCCATGTTGCTACAAAAAGGTTAAACGAGCTACATGAGGAGCAGACAAAGGTCTGTCTGTTATGAGGATTTGGTCAGTGATACTGAAGGTATTCTAGTGATAATCCCAGCCAAAATTTTCGACACATGGCAACATCAAAAGATCAGTGAACAAACCAGGTAAGCGTTGGTTTTGGTACGCCACGAACTTTAACGCTGAGTTCGGCTCTGCTACCCAGTTCCACAAAAACATCCTTGAGTGGAATAACAAATTTCGGTTCGGAGGGTAGCTCATCAGCAGCAAGTACACGTACAGTACAATCGGATTTCGATTCACCAGCTGAATTGGATGCAGTAACGCTGTAGTTTCCTGCATCCTCTTTCTTGCTATCCAGAATGCGGAGAGTTGTGGTACCGTCTAAAGCCATACGCATAACCGTTCGGTCATCTTTGGTGAGTTCGACACCATTCTTGTACCTGAAAACAGTTCAGTAATGGTAAATAGAAAAATGAGACGATCACAGTTAGTATAGCCGGGAAACAGTTCTTTTCAAAATTTTTTTGTCAAGAAATTATGTTCAAAAGTTTTTGCCAAAAAATTAAATTGTCTGAAATTGTGTCAAAAACTTGAATAGTAACTTTCTGGTTGTTCTCATTGAAAGAAAGAATTATCGGCAGCTCCTGCAATGTACTACCTCTCTTGCTGAAAGCTTTACAGAAAGAGGGGAGTGACACAGTGATCTTTAATTATTAAAATACAAGAGGGTTACATTGTTTCGGAAGAATATTTTTGTTCACGATTAAAATAGATTAGAAACTGCTTTCCTGAGAATTTTCCCCTTTTCTTTTTTCTCTGTCTGGATACCAGTTGGAATCTTTTCCTTTACACCAAAAAATTTCCAAAAAAACGAACCATTTGACCGTTGGAGTTGGTTCTCCAGAAATCTTACACTTCAGCGTCAATGTATCACCTTCCGGAACATCCACGTCTTGAAGCGGTGAAACGAACGTTGCAGCACTTGTTACCGGCTCCGCTTTCTTCGCTACAAAAAAGTTTTAAATTACGAAAAGTTTTGGCTTAACTGGGTTTGTTTTGAGAAAAAATATTCTCTCTTTAATCGATTATTCATGTGCTTAGTCATGAAGAACTTGCTAACCAATTACTGAGAAATTAAATTTAAAAACTATCTGCACGGAATGTCGCAATATTAGATATGGCTGCAACGAAATTTTCGAATTTTTCGCACAGCTCAGCTAAATTCCTCTTTGGCTAGAAGCCTAGAGGAGTACTCAACCATGTTTTCTGAGTACGCATACAGAAGCTTTTGTTTGAACGGATAATGTTTTTCGTAGAAAAAAAAATTCAAGAGAACTAAACAGATCTTAACCTTTGACATGGGCAATCGAACCACTCTGAACGTCGCCACGCTCGTTTGACAGAACAACACGATAGGCAGCTCCATCTGTTGTCAAACTTTCCGGTATTATCAACGCGTATTCACCTGTTTCTGGATTTTCCTTCTACAAAAATAATTTTTGAGTTGCAAGAAAAATTTGAAACTGGACGAAATTATGTGATAAAATTAGAGATCCTGATTCTGAATGTCGTAAACTGAATCATCAAGGATGAAATGAACTGGGAAATTGGAAATTGATTTTATACTTGATCAGCACCGCACTGACAGCGAAGAAGTTTGTGTCAAAATTTTATTAATTGTGAGAAAACCTGGCACATTTAAGGCAAAAAGGACAAAATACTAGTCAAAAATAATTTAAATTTTGACGGAAGACCATCAAGGGTGATCAAAACTTGCATAAAATGAGGTTTGCAAAAGGAAACAACCTCGAAATTTAAAAAATATTTTGGTTATATTAAGAAAAACTAGAGTTGAGGTAAGAGGATTTGATAAAGATAGTTACTTACGATTTGAATATGATCATCAGGGGTAATTTCATTGCCATTCTTGAGCCATTTCACTGTCTTAGGCTGTCCTTCCACCTTAACACTAAGCTGAATCGGTTCACCTTCATTCACATCCGTATCCTTCAGGCCTTCCAATATTTTCAGAATATTGGGCTTTACAACCGTCAAGTTCGCAGATGAATCACATTCACCAGCTCTGTTGCTCAGGACAACCTAAAATTTTTATTTTAAGTTGAATCATCAATAACAACAATAGAATCAGAGCGTTTAAATTATTATTTGTTCACGTATACTACCGATTTCAGTCATCAATACCTCTAGAATAGAGTTTATAATACTTCTTTAAATTCAACAAGTGGCTTAGCGCCAAAAGCTACATAAATATTTCTACCACTAGTTATAATAACAAAATGACCACTGCTTATTTAATAGTAGTAGCTAAACGTTCATAAAAACGAGCACAGCGCTGTTTTCAACTGAGCCGAAGGCTTTTCTGAAGTCTATGAAAGTTCTCAGAATTATTACTATTAATTATCAAGGAATTCAGTAGGTGCTGAAATCCAAAATTACACGCTACCGCTACTCCTAACCAACTGTTCCTTGAAAATAAATTTCCTGCGCTCCTGAACACCCTGAAAGCATTGCATAACGCACATAAATTTTAAGTTATAATCGCATTTTGTTGCCAGAAGAATAAAGTTGGCTATTCGTAAAATCAAGCTTGCACATCTCGGAACTTTCAGATTGCATGAAGTCCGCCAACTTCATAAGAAAAGAAACTGGAGAGGTCAGTGGTCAAACACCGAAATGATAGGTTCCACGAAATTCAAAATACCTTATATGCAGCTGAATCATCAAGCGATGCTTTTGCAATGATAAGTTCGAACTTCTTCGGACTGATTTCTTTCATGGTAGCCTTTGGCGAAGCTTTAATTTCTTGCCCATTTTTGTACCTGAAAAAACCAGCACATCTTGGAAAGACAGAAAAATCTCCGAAATTTTCCTCAAAAACAGGTAAAAGTCAAATTAAATCTAGTGGAGTGGCGTTTGCACAAAGACTATCGAGATTTCTTTGGAAGGGTAACAAGAAAATCTGTTAAAAAATAAACTAAAAACGTTATCAGTCACAATCTTTTAACGCTATTTTATCATCAAAACGAATCAAGAAAAAAAGTTGGTGGCATAGATGAAGGTCCAAAGTAGAAATAATGGCTCTTTTAAATGTTCTAGGAAAATTTTTTCCGAGAAACAACAAATATCTCGACTATTTTGAAGTTTTGTTAGGGGACACCGATCTGGCCCAACTGTGCCAATCAGACCCTTCTCTTCAGTCCTTGTTACACATATTAATCTGTTTTTTATACATACAAAAATAGTCATTTAAAGATTCCCGATTTCTATGCATATATAAGCAGAAGTATGCACTGGCAGTGACGGAGAGAGTGATGGAGCAAAGAATGCTTAATGCATCTCCCTGCGATCATTCCCATCAGATGCGCAGCGTTCAGGATATCACTGCGTACACGCGAGAAGGTAAGATCCGATGGGCAGGACGTGTTGTTGCTCGCTTTTCCAACAGCCGGCAAACAATGCGCATTAGTGTGTGGTGCCCACGGAAAGGTTAGTGACCACTCCAGCAGTGTCCGAAATGGTGGCGCACATATGTAGAAACGGTGGGTACTAACTGGAAATATGCAGCCCAGGATCGAAGGGCTTAGCATCGCTGCGCTCGACGTTTGGGAGCATCCTAGTAACATCCCTAACAGAAGCAGACTTGTTATTGCTTTTGCCCGTCTTTTTACTTTATTCAGTTTCACGTTCTTTTAGCTGATTACGCATGTCATCTTCATTCCAAATACTGTCAGACTAACCACTTCACTTGACGCACTGGTACGGTTGTTTCAACTCTGAACAGATGTTCATCGCCCTCATCAATTTCACCATCTTCTAGGCCTTTGGCAATTTCTGGCTTAACATCCACTTCAACATTACCGCTCGTCTGAGCTTTGCCAGCTTCGTTAATCACTTCAGCGCTGTATATTCCTGCATCAGTGGTGTCACACTGCGGGATTGTTAGGCGATACCTGAAAAAATTTTTTAACAAATGGTGAACGCTATATGTCAGTAAGAAAGTAAATGACCACTCGATCAGTCTTTGAACAGGTGGCGCACATACATCCAATAGGGCATTGAATAATAACAGAAGATATGCAAGACCGGGTCGGATTGCACAGCACCGCTATGCTGGACCAGTGCAAGCACCTCAGTGGTATCACTAAAAGTGGACCCCCGCACTGACCTGACAAGTTAGTTAAGCTCAAATCCGTGTTAAAGATAAATAATACTATAGCCAACAAGAAATATCGTTCCAACTAGACTAGATTAAGCTATTTTTTCACAGCAATGAGCGAAGCAAAAAATGAGCCGCACGTGGAACTGATCAGCAGCAAGGAACTGATGTACAAACGCCTGGTTTTTACACCTCAGAAACGGCAAAATTTTTTGGGCGAGAGAAAGAATCACCCAAAACGTGCCAGGCCAGGCAAGCGCGAAGATCTGTTAACAGTAAGAAATCTCAGTACTTCTCAGAACTGAAATTTCTTACTGTTAACAGATCTGTAAAGGGGCTGTACATTTGAGATTTGCGGAAGAAATGGACTGAAAGCATACGTATTTTCATTGATCTGTTCAATTTTGGCTTGAACATCTTTCGGCAATGCAGCATCATTTTTGAGCCATCGCACTTCGGTCGGTTCGCCTTCCACTTTGATTTCCAGGATCAGAGCATCACCTTTTGCAATAACCTAGAATTTTTTTTTTTTTTGACTTGTATCCAAAAAAACAGCATGAAATGCGGTAAATCGATTTTCGCTGAAAATTTAAAAAAAAGATAAAATTGTTGACCTGATCCTCCAATCCTTTGATGATTTTAGGTTGCCCCTTCGGTTTTCTGACTGAAAGATTAGCAGATGAATCCAGTTCTCCTGCACTGTTCGACAGAACCACCTAAATAATATAAAATATTAATAACAGACTTCAAAATGGAATGAAAATGACTCGGTGCTATTAATCTTGAATAAAAACATTGAGAAGATATAATTTTAAGAAGGGCTAAGGGCTAAGAAGTACCATTTTCCCCTTTGTCCATTTTTTGCGATTAAGAAAAAGCATTCGACAGCACAGAGCTGAAGTTGTACGAAAACCTGGTATGAGTTACCGCCATATATGCAAAAAATGCAGCGTACTGGACTGTAACGCAATTTCGCTTTTCCAACAAGGGACAGATTGGTAACTTTTACGAAAAAAAATCACCTTGTAGTTAGCAGCATCATCCTTCTCAGCTCTTTTAAATATAAGTCTGAATGTGGCAACATTATCCTTGATTTCAATTCGTCCAGGAACTGGTTTCACCTCTTGTCCATTCTTATACCATTTCACAGATCGTGGATGAACATTTGTTTCTACTGTAAGCTCCGCTTGTTCACCTTCTACCACTTCGACATCTTTTAATGGTTTAAGGAACGTGAGCTGCTCCTCGACCGTTATCTGTAAAATCCACAGTTCAGCTTAAAAAAGTTGAAAAAATGTATTGGTTTCCTAGCCATAAGGCGATTGAGACCAGGTACCATGTCTCTATGTTATAAACACGTATACGCATATGAATATATACACAGCCAAAAGGCATAATGCAGTGTAGTAAATCGGTAAATCGGGGGTTTGACTGTTCGTGTAGTAAATTGTCGTGTAGTAAATCGGAGTTTTGACTCGCTGCTGTGAACTCCTCCCCGACCTGTTCCTTCATTTCGATGGTAAATTGGTACTAACATATGCCAGGGAGTCAACCCTTCTATGGGCTTGATTTTAAGTAAAACAGGTAGCCATCGAGAACCTTGGCAATGGGTGGATTCTGTTGGGATTTTTAGCATTCAGTCTACTTCCTGCTTACCACCGCTTCGTGTTTTATTAAACGTGTTTCACTGAAAGTAGAAGGCAGACCTCTCCAGAACTTTTCGCTTTACCAGCTTCATTTTCCACTTCAACCGAATAAGTTCCACTGTCATCCAAAGCACACTTTTCGATTTTCAACACATAGTTATTATCATCAATCTTTTCCATTCTAATTGTTTTTGCCTTTTCGCCCGATAACACCTGACCGTTTTTGTACCATTTTACAGTTCTTGGCTGCCCAGTTGTCTGAAAATTATGTCAGCGTACAATAATATGCCACATTTAGTACAGTGATCATTTCATGTACAGCATTCATAAGCTACTTTTTATTTTCAAATATATCAAGACCATCCAATCGACGCTAAAATCCCTAATCGACACTAAAATATCTCTATTATTAATGTTTTACCGCATGCTCTCGCACGTTCAGTTCATATATGTCTCGCCCTTCAATCCTGGACTGCATTCCTTCAGTTAGTAATTACTACCTCTTTGATGTATGTGCTGCATGGATATAAATAAATGGCAACGCGCACCAGGCTAGCCGGTGCGATCATGCGTTTTGTGCAATTCAGCC